TCATACACGTCAATTAGGAAGAAGAGAAGATGGACTTGATTGGCTCAACCGCAATCAAGTTATAAATATGGTTATAATTATTATAATCGTAATTATTATGGTTTGATTTGATTGATTGATTAATTGAAATTAATGAAATCTTCTATTAGAGTTAATGAAATGACTCTAATAGAAGATTAGAGTCCTATAAATTTTTTTATCAGTAAACAGTAACAGTAAATTGAAGCCTTATTTCTGTAAATTTTAATGATTTTCCGCAATAGTCTCTCAAAATTTAATATTTTTCAACTACTTAAGGACACACTTAGTACACTCGAGGGGAATAATGAAAAATATAACCCGGAATTTAACATATGCAAATTATTGGTCACTTTTGCGAAATTTGCCAAATTTGTGAGTGCAGTGAACTTCGAAACTTCCCGGAACCTTGCTTAGGACGCTGTACTTGCAGTTGTTGGAAATATTCTTCTTTTGTTCATTAATTTTATGCAAATAATGTTTGTAAATTTTCAATAATATTTACGTTAAAATAATTATAAATTAATTATTCCATAAATTAACAAATTTGTTAAGCGTTTGCAGTTCAACGAACAGTAAAATATTAAAAAGTTCAATGCTTTATTGTGAAAATTAATTTTAATTTTAATTTTGTGTATTCAGGAATAATTAAATTATATTCGATATTTATTCAATGTTATTATATTTTGATTAAATATTATTAATTTAATTAAATAAAACTATCTTTCACCATGAGATTGCCACAGAATAAGTTAATTAAAATACAAGTAGATGTATGAAGTTTCATATTTATGAAAAAATTGCCATTGTTTTCATTATGGTTTTAATAATTCAATAAAACAGAATTAATATTGAAAATGGAAAAGATTAAATATTTATCACCAACAAATGTTAAAAAGTGCTGTTTTTTTTAAATACAAGCTAAAATATTAAGAGCATTAAATTATATTTTGCGAAATTTTTAATAAAAACAATGATATTTATAATTTATAACTAATTAATGGAAAAAATAATTTTCTGTGAAAAGAGTATTATTCATCACAATTCATTATTCATTTATATTGAAAAAAATTCTTAAGTATTTGAAATATTTTGAAATGACACATTTTTAACGTCTCAATATAACGTAGTGTTTTCTTCCATAAGCTAAAGGTCCAAAAAAGTTCTTTTATATGAATAAGAAGATCTTATTATATGAATAGGGAGTTCTTATTATATGAATAAGAAGTTTTTTAGGTAGAATTAGGAATAGGTGGACTGTTTAAATCCAATACCACCCGTTCCACAAATTTGATTTGTCCATGTATTGATTTTCCTCAATAAAATTTTCCTCAATTTTCCTCAATGTGGTAAAAATTAGCTCATAACAGATAGGCATTTCATACACAGTTGGTTGGTGGATGTAGTGACTGATCCTTAGATAGTTCTCCGTATTATTTGTTTAGTAATTATTTGCTGTTTGTACACCATAAATACCAGAAACAAAATTTGCAAAAACAAACCCAATAGCTAAACCCAATAGATGAATTCAGTTGAATATATGTAGCTTGAATTATATATAGTTGCTATATGAAAACAATTTGGTCAATTTTTGAAATAATACACTTTTTTAAAATCAGTTTTTAAAAAAAAATATTTTTTTACATACATCAATATTTTGACTGTATTCTGTAGTCATCTTTAGAGCACTAATATGATGATTATGGAATAGACTTAAAATGTTGGTGCGTTTGTTTCAAAAACAAAATTATTAATAAAAAATTATGTTCATTAAAACAAATAATTATAAAATTTTAATAATTATTTATTGATTAATTTATTTTGCAAATATATTACTCTAAGTGTGCTAAAACCATTTCTTCTGTTATTTCTCCATAATCTTATGTATTGTACATTTATTGCCTGAAAAATAAAAATTTAAAAAAATATTTTTTTAAACTAAATACAATTGAAAAATTAAATAAAAATAAATTAACGTTATTAATTTATCCTTATTTAGTCAAAAAATGAGGAAATACAAATCTTATTCAAAGAAGCATAAATAAATATTCTCAAAAGTACCAATAAATAAATATTTTCATTGTATTAAAAATTCAATTCAAAGCAGCTAAAAATATTCCAGATACAAATTTCATTTTGTGAATATTTATATGCATGTAAGTGTGTCACATTACTCTTGTTTACTTTTTAAGCAAAAAAAAAAGTTACATATTTCCCAGAAATGTAAATAATATCCACACCTAAAATTGTGCAAAAAATTATTTAATAATATAAGCAGAATTATTAAGCCAAATGTGCAGATACATCTGACTGTAAATTGAATTACAGACATACTTGTATGTTTTCATACATCTTTGTTCACAATAAATGTACTGAAGTAGAAAATTCCTTATATTTATTATTGTTAATTTAATTAAAATTTTTATAAACGTCTTATATTCTTTTTATTTTTGCATTTTAAGAATAACATTGCCAAAAAAAAAATCTTAAACGTTTTTATCTCTCACTTCACGTATTCTGAATATACTGAATATTTAAGAAATAATCTTAACATTCAAGTACATTATTAAATTATATGTGAATAGTTCAAGCTGCGGGAATCTCGGCACGCGTATTAAAAATTTCAAGTTCGTAATGGAAAATATTTTATTAAAAATAAATAAAATTCATTTTATTTTAAGGACTACTTTATATTCGTCCTGTTGTCATATACAACGAACCTAAATAAAAAAAGAAAATAAAAATGAAGCGTACTAGTAGTACCTGCTTCGGAAATGTTATTTTTAAGTTGCAATTATTTTACGCACAGCTGCTTTCACTTTAAATAAAAAATATTTACATATAAATATATGTACATATATAAAATAATAAAAAAAAAATTCTTTAAACTTTTTAAGCAAAATATAAAATAACAAAATTCACAGAACTCCTTGCACTCGTCCAAATAGTTACCATAGTACTTCCGAGTACACGCAATTCTTTCGGAAAACTGTCTGTTGAATAGTGAGAAAAACTGCAATGCAAAATATGTCAGTGAAAAATTTTCACTTCCCAAAAAATGAATGAAGTGCGTTTGAACAGTTCTACACTTTTTGACTTGATTAAAAAAATAAATATTTGAGATGTAAGTAAGTATACTATTTTGAATGAATGTACAGTTGCGTTTGTACACATTCATTGAATATTTATAATAACGTTCATATAGTTATAATACGGATGTAATACCTTATATCAAATGATTTTCGACAAATCCCGTTGGACCCGTTGGACCTCAGCCTTAATAACTTAATACATTGAAATGGAATGTTGCTATACAATCTCACTTAATTTACAGCTAGATTTGCTAAGGTACAGTTGATTCAATAGTCAGGGTGCATGTTGATACAACTATCAACACTATAACTCAGTAATCTCTATTGCTCATTGTGATGCCTTCAAAACTGCCTGCGAGAGGTGAGTTACGCTAACCGTTGTAATAACAATTTATTATGGTATTTTTGTTAATTCATTTGGTGTTTAGATAAAGCTAAGTTCTGGGAAGCCTACTTTCCTTATCTCTAACAGACCAGTGAAGATACTGTATGTACAAAGATATAGAACATGATTGGTGGACTCTACGTCATCTTTATCTAGAGAACTTCTGTGCAATCATCTTGCGGAATATGGTAACCTTGAAGCATTAATACAACAGTGCATCGTCAGTACTTAAGTGAGTAAAAGGATCTACAGGTTTAAGCCGTAAACTGTTTTCGTTTTATTACTGTTTAATCTAAACAGTAAGAAGTTAGCGATCTCACAGTCTACGCAAACAGTTTATTAGTCGTCTGTCACCAAGATGTTGAAAGTCGACCTCACTTTTGTGAAAATTAATTCCTCCTTAGACTACTTGCTCTATTACGTTATGTCCTGCAGGAAATCAGCATAGAAAGATCTTCTGATATTCCATATTCACCAGCGAGACCTGAAATTTCATCTTAGATTTAATTTAAACAATAGAAAACAATAACAATAAATAAATACTCACGAATTTGTGTAGAAATAATCTCAATTTACTACTGTGCGATACGGAATACACCCATTTCTGTGAATTATTTTTCTATTAATTCCAACTAATAATATTGATAGGTTTCATATTTAAGAAGCATCGTTTTGTTTTAGTCTACAGAATAAACTTGGCAGTTTAGTCTTTCAGTTTTCTGCAAAGTTTTGACTGTCTATGAAGATAGTGATATTCAAAGAGCGAATTGTTCTAACTTATTTTAGCCGGGTTGCTTTTTATATGTAATGCTGAGATGATCAAGAATTGAAGAACATCATAACAGACAATACTTTGTATATAACCGACAGGTTTATACGATGAAGTAGTAATTAACGCACATATAAAATTACCTTTGGCCAAAATTTCAATACTTATAAGCTAAGGCTATAAAAGAAGAAATCTCACAGAATAAGTTTATTCAATATCTAACAATGGGAGAAAAGTAAACTTTTGTGTAAGTCTTACTGGCAGACTTACTCACCAGACTTAGTACACTAAAGACTAAGTATTTATTTTATTGTTTTATTGTACTTTTGGTAGAGTAAAGACAAAGTTTTTATTTTATTGTTTTATGGTTTTTCAGACATTACAAAAATATAGCAATTAAAAAATAAAATGTGTTGACATATTGACGACATTAGGTCTTTTGATATCACAGGGCAATATTATTTGAATAGATTTTTTAAAAAATTTGAAGATAATTTTATTTATAATATTTAATCATTATCTGATATCTGAGACCAAAATTCATTCTAAGTTTATTTTAAGGTTTTACTTTGACCCAAATCATAAAATTCAGCTTATATTGACACCTGACTGCTAGACCCTGCTAATTTTTATATGGATTCCCATAATTTCAATTTCTTTTTCCATGTGTGTATATTCGCTTTTCCTGTCAAACAAATATAAAAAATATATTACATAAATGCTTAAAATTAAATAACAATTTTAATTCTAAATTCAAAATTTGCAAACTAAAGTTCTTATCATTTTGGTGGAATGTAAATTTGGTAACATCATGACTTCAAACTGGAACAAATCCAGAATTGTACAAATAACTGAAGAAAATTTACCGAATAATGAAAGTAAGTAAATATAGACACATATAGAACTTCTATTTTTTTAAATTTGACTTCTTTCTATATAAATTATAGCAAGTTTTATGGTAGGTGGAACTTTATATGTCATTAAACAGCAAAATGTTCGTACCACTATTGAAATGCGACGATTTCAATACAGTAGATTATTACCAAATGGTAAATAAAAAGATTTTTAGTGAATATATGAACGATTTTTAACATAATTGATTTTTAAGGTAATCTAATACCTCTGAATATGGACAGGAATGAAACTAGTTTCATTGACGATTACATTAATTACTGTAAATTACAAGCAAAGCCAAAACCTACAGTCGTAACGCCTATAATACCAAATTTGCCTACACAATGCACTGGAATTATACATTCTAATCCTACCGTGTTAACTGTAAACGTTACAACTCAGGTACTTAAAACAACTGATCTATGTCTTAACTATGTATTTCTTTTACTAATTATTTTTCGCATAGACAAATTTTACACGCGATATTAGCACTTCAACAGAATGTACTGCCCAACCAAAGATACAGTTTACAACCACTCAAAAGAACAAAACAAAATTAAATAGTCATTATCCTTGTTGTGCTGAATATATTCTTCATAAAAAGAAGAATAAAAAAAGAAATCATCGAAAGAAGAAAATGCATTTATCCCCATTTTTAATAACTGATAGTGATGATAGTGAGGTGCTTGGAAAAAATCAAACAGTCGAATAAGTCAAATGTTGTAAGATTCAACATGCTGTTAAGGTAAACTAGCTTCTTTAAGCTGTCAATGTACCATATTTCTAGTATTTTTATTACATATTTAAAGACTACAAAGTAATTCCTGTAATTAACGAGGAATTTATATGCACAAATCATACAGTTCATATAAATGTTCTATTTATTCACGAGGAGTATTAATAAGTGCTTTACATAAGATAAGCTTATTGAGTCTCGATCCGGTTTTCAAAATATAGAGTTAATGCTAACCCGCCCTTTCTATTTAGCTCTTACTCGCTTTTTTTGCTTCCATTTTTATTTCACATTTTTAACTCTTACAAGAGCATAAAGGCCTATTTGAATACACAAAGCTCGATTAAACTACAATACTTGTTGAGCCAATCCTTTAATAGAGCATGC